AGCAGTTCGAGGACGCGGGCGAGTTCGACGAGGACAAGGACGAGGGCGAGCAGTTCGAGGACGAGAGCGGGCACTCCGAGGACGAGGACAAGCCCGAGAACGACGACGCGTTGAAGGCCCTGCCCTCTTCCGCCTCGCTCCTCCTGCCTCCTCCTCCTCGCTCCTCCTCGCCCCCCCCTCCTCCTCCCGTCATCATCGGCGTCGCCCTCGTCCTCGCTCCCCGCCTCATTAAAACCCCGTTCGCGTTGCTAGTGCCCCCGCCACCCTGTCGTCGCTGCCACTCCCCCCATTACCTCCTCGCCTTGCTCACCCCAAACGCAGTAGGGGGAGGCTGGAAGTAGTAGGGGGAGACTTGAGGATGCATTTGGACGCGGCGACGGCATGATGGACTCCCCCTCCTCCTGCACCGCCCCCTCCTCCCCCCCCCCCTTTCTCCACCCCCCCCTCCTCCACCTCCCCATTCCGCCGCCTCCCCCTTCTCCGCCTCCACCTCCTTCACCTCGCCCTCCTCCCCCCGCGCCTTCCAGCCCCCTTCCCCCTCATCATCTCGCCCGCGTCCTTACTTCCTCCTCCTCCTCCTCCGCGTTCGCTGCGTCAATCCCCTGCGTATTTCCCAACCATCCTGTGGCGTTGGGTCCTCGTTTTGAGGAGACGGTGCCCCGCGTTCCTCTTCTCCTCCTCCTCCCCCTCCTCCCTCTTCCCATCATCATCATCATCATCATCATCATCATCATCATCATCATCACCACCGATTTCGGCACACCCCTCACACGTTTCGTGGCCCCATAGGGAGCTCCACCGAAGGCCCCAGTGGCAGGGTCCGCATGCCTCCCCACCACCCATTCGGCACACCCCTCACACGTTTCGTGGCCCCATAGGGAGCTCCACCGAAGGCCCCAGTGGCAGGGTCCGCATGCCTCCCCACCACCCATTTCGGCACACCCCTCACACGTTTCGTGGCCCCATAGGGAGCTCCACCGAAGGCCCCAGTGGCTGCGTTCGCATGCCTCCCCACCACCCATTTCGGCACACCCCTCACACGTTTCGTGGCCCCATAGGGAGCTCCACCGAAGGCCCCAGTGGCAGGGTCGCATGCCTCCCCACCACCCATTTCGGCACACCCCTCACACGTTTCGTGGCCCCATAGGGAGCTCCACCGAAGGCCCCAGTGGCAGGGTCCGCATGCCTCCCCACCACCCATTTCGGCACACCCCTCACACGTTTCGTGGCCCCATAGGGAGCTCCACCGAAGGCCCCAGTGGCAGGGTCCGCATGCCCCCCACCACCACGGCACACCCCTCACACGTTTCGTGGCCCCACTCCACCCCTCGCACCACCCATTTCGGCACACCCCTTTTCGTGGCCCCACAAGGAGCTCCACCGAAGGCCCCAGCGGCAGGGTCGGCATGCCTCCCCACCACTCATTTCGGCACACCCCTCACACGTTTCGTGGCCCCATAGGGAGCTCCACCGAAGGCCCCAGTGGCAGGGTCCGCATGCCTCCCCACCACCCATTTCGGCACACCCCTCACACGTTTCGTGGCCCCGAAGGCCCCAGTGGCAGGGTCCGCGTGGCTCCCCACCACCCATTTCGGCACACCCCTCACACGTTTCGTTTCCCCATAGGGAGCTCCACCGAAGGCCCCAGTGGCAGGGTCCGCATGCTTCCCCAACGCTCATTCTGGCACATCCCTCGCACGTTTCGTGGCCCCATGGGGATTTCCATTGAAGGCCCCAGTGATTGGGTTCGCATGCGCCCCCACACCCATTTCGGCACACCCCTCACACGTTTCGTGGCACCATAGGGAGCTAGACCGAAGGCCCCAGAGGGTGCTTTCGCATGCCGCCCCCGCACCAATTTCGGCACACCCCTCACGCGTGTCGTGGCCCCACAGGGAGCTCCACCGAAGGCCCCAGCGGCAGGGTCCGCATGCCGCCCCCGCACCATCTTCGGTGCACCCCTCACACGCTTCGTGGCCCCATAAGGAGCTCCACCGAAGACCCCAGTGGCAATGTTCGCATGCCGCCCCCACACCCATCTCGGCACACCCCTCAAACGGTTCGTTGCCCCATAGGGAGATCCACCGAAGACGGTACTCACACCAGCATTACTCACAACTGCAGATGGTTGGGTCCTTCGCCAGGCTAATTTCTGCGCGCTGGGCTCGGGCGCAACTGCAACTTTCTATCGCCCCCCAACATCCCACCCCCATGCCTTTTCCGTAGCCAGTTTTTGGTCAAGTCCGCGCGTGGTTGCCGGATGTCGCCTGGCCCTGGGCTTCAGCGCGCCATGTCGCCCGTTCAGCTCGCCTGGCTCGGCGATTGCGATTTTTGCCCATTTCGGTTTCAGAAGTTGAAGTCGCCGCACAATGCGATATTGATGGCCCTCGTGGAGCACATCTTCCCCGTCCTGTGCCTGTACTTCCCAGACGTGCGCGACCTCACCTGCGTCGAGTGCATGCCTGATGCGGCAATACCGATTGGCCCTTCTATGCCCATCGACGCGAAGCACGGCAGGGAGTTCAACATCCGCCGCTTGAGCGGCTACGAGAACATCTTGCGCTTGTTCATGCGCGTGCGTGCTGGAGGCACGGCGTGGATCTACCCCGACGCGAAGACCTGGGTTCCAGACGAGCACGTTCGCGACAAGGGGAATCCGTCTGGGGACGCCGACAATTTCCAGGTCAAGTCCGCCAACAACGAGGTCGAGTGGTGGTGCGCGCTATCCGTGCTGGCGTGGCTCCGCAAGGTGATGACAGTGCGGGGTTTACACCGCCACCTCTCTTCTGGCGCACCTCCTCATCCTCTTCTCCTCTATCTTTCCATCCCGCAACCTTCCCCGCCTTCTCTCACCACCCTCCACATCTCCATCTCCTGCTCTTCCCCTCCTTTACTCCTTAACTGCCCTGCCCGTCTAGCCCCCCCCCCCCCCTCCTTTACCTTCTCCTCCCCCTCCTTTGCTCCTCTCCCTCCTCTAATGTTCAACTCCGTCCGCCTCCCCAATTACTGCCCTGCCCGTCTAGCCGACGCTCCTCGAAAGGTCCATGTTGTCTGGCAGCACCCTGCCAATAGCTTCGTCTGGCAGTACCCTGCCATCGTGAGGTTGATGGGGATTTCTTGCACATTCAAAACGTCCTTTTGGGTTGCGAATCCATTGAGCATGCCCTTGCATTGGGCAATTATGCATGATGATGCTCAGTTTCGCGAGCTGGAGTCGGTCAACGACGGCTGGTTTGAAACTGACTACACCCCACCCAAAACAAACGCGATTGCGACGACGGAGAACGGGGCAATACGACGAATGACGGAACGACGTCGTGAGCACGTCGTTCCCGTCATTCGTCGCATTGCGCCGAGAACGATCAAGGATGGCGAGACCGACGGCGAACGACGATAACGAAACATGACAGCGGTGGCGACGGCGACTGTCGATCCGTTTCAGAGGTCAAGAAAGATCCGTGGACGATGGGCGACTTTTGGGAGGTCATTGGGGAGTGCATCATTAGCCTGTTGAAATCCTTCGTGTCGAACACTCAGAAGAGCATCACTTCGTTCGTGAGGTATGGGAGCTCGGACTGCGACGGCAGCGTGACTTCCGACATCGAGGTCGTCGAGCCATCGCCACCGAAACGCAAGCGTTTGAGGTCAAAAACTCCCAGTCCGACGTGCTCCCCGTCCCCTGGCCCAGGTGTTCCAGCAGAGCAGCTCGCCGCCGAGAGCCCATCTCATGCATGTTCTTCGGCGGCATCAAGTTCGTCGCAGGCAGTGACTTCATCGGCTGCAGGTTCATCGTCGGCCAACTGGTGCGCAGGCCTTTCCTCGTCATCATATTCGCTGGTGGGCATTCAGCCAGAGGCAGTTGGCACGGCCGAAGACCTTCCAGCCGCAGGTGGTGTGGTGCAAGCTTCTGAGGCAGACATTCCAGATGATGAGATCATCGCGATGGCGCGGTGGATGCGTTTTGGATGAGTAGTTAGGCCGTGCAGCCACGCCAGGCTGTTCGGACAGGCGCTCGGAGCGCGGATTTGCGCTCTGGGCTGCGTTGCATTCTTTAGAATGCAAGTTTGGGATGCGACTGATATTGGCGGTGCGTCACACTGCAGGGGCGATGATGTAGCTGATCGATCTTTTCGTCATCGATTTTCATCACCATCATCGTTGCCATCACCACCAAGCGCCCACCACCCGCCCGAAAACCCGAGGAGATGATGGGCGACGCCAGAACTTTGGTAGGATGAGGTATGTAGAATTATGAAGGCCTTTGGGCGACGCGCGTGGAGGATAGTGGACGGTGGGGGTCACGGAGGACGATGAAGGATGGAACAGCACTGGAGGGACGGGGTATTCGGGCGGTTATGGTTATGGGCACGACCAACGCGACGACGAAAATGATTACGTATGCGATGATGGGGCGCTACGACGGCGAACCCAATGATGGTTCAATGATAACTGTGTCTCGTTCTTTGTTCAGTCAATTCTTAGCGCGTGGGGGCGTCGTCTTGAAGTGCGCGAAGTGTGTGGCGTACTTATCGCGTATCGGTGCAGGTTCCATCCATGGGGTGGTGCGATGATGATCGTGCGTCGCGCGTCGGCGTTGCAATTACCTCGGGTCGCAACCCTCATACGCATCAGCATCATCATCCTCATCCTCCCTCCTCCTCCTCATCCTCATCCTCATCCTCGGCGTTGCAATTACCTCCTCCTCCTCCTCCTCCTCCTCCCTCCTCCCCCAAGCGATATCGTTCCTAGCCCGCTGTCCTCGTCTGTGTGCCCCGCTCGCGGGCGCCACGATAATCGCGTCTCGAGGCGCGATTGGCGTTCGCGGCGATGACGGCTGCTAGTTTCCAGGTAATCGTGCACGAGCGGCAGGGCGCGAAGATAACCGTGCGCCGACCATTCGCGAGTGGTTGTGCGTCTGAGGCGCGAGGTAGAGCGATGGTGTGACGTCCCTAATGTGCCGTTGTCTGATGCAGTCGTTTCGTTTGCCGCCGCCATGCCAGGCCTTGGGCCGCTGGCTGAAGTCCTCGGGGAAGCCCACGCCCACGGCCGCGACCCCCGTGCCCAAGACGCCCAAGAAGAACGTCGTGCCGACCCCCGCCGAGACCAAGAAGACCGCCGTGGCCACCCCCGTGAAGGGCTCCTTCGTGCCCAAGAGGGTCAAGGCCTCGGCGAAGGAGGACAGGCTGCTGGAGATTGCCATGGGCTTCGATCCAGTTCCGACGAGGAAGCAGACACTTACGGACATGCCAGATTTATGTTGCGTCGTCGCGTCGCACCGTCGCCACGCCTAGCCTGGGAAATGCGATGGGAAAGGGGGGGGGGGCAGGAGGAATAAAGGATGAGTGGAGGATGATGTGGCGGGGGGAATGTAGGGTCTTAATTAAGATCAAGGAAGGGCCGCGTGATAACTGCCAGTCGATGGTTTGCCACATTATACATTCAATAGTTCAATGAATTCGTAGTTCGGGAACGCTCGGTCTAATGGGTGCGAGGACCATCGATGTGCCGTTCATGGCCGTGCCCGCCTGATACAGAATGTACATGACTACCAAATGTGGATATGGACGAGAATAATGACCACGGTGATAGCGCTGATATTCGTGGTGCTGGTGACGGTATGTATGGCCTTAATGAGTAGGTCCCTTCGATGCGATTGTTCGGTCTGCACGATAGGGGATGTCACGGCGATTGCGCAATGGCGATGGCGATGGTGCCCCCCCCCCCCCCCGAGAGTGAGATTGACATCTCCAGGCAGAGATCAAGGCAGCCAAGGCTGGCGATGAGGAGCACAGTTCGGGCAAGGGCAACAAGAAAAACACATCAGAATGCATCCAGAAGGGCAAGGCAAAGGTTTCTGCTGCCAAGTCTAAACCAAGCACGTTGTCGATCGAGCTTCCCCGCAAGCTCGAACACCCAGTCCTGGGGGAGCTGTATGCAGTTTACGCCAAGGATAAGTCATACTGCCTGTACAAGCCTGATCCAGAGACGACATCCAAGCGAACCCTTCTGGTAGAGATTTCTGCAAAGCGGTTTCCTCGCCACGATCGCGTGCTTAAGGATGTGATGATGAGGAGCTGCAAGAAGTCATTATCTAAATTAGAGACTGTGAAGTACAGAGATTCGCTCGCTGCTGCCTGATCAGATTTCATGCAAATTTTGAATCCCTGTCATATCGCAATGACGACGTGGCCATAGGGAGGGCCAGGTGTTTCGTGACAGTGCTGTGGTACTAGATACAAAGGGCGGCGTCGGACATGAAGGTCGATGCTTGGGTGCCCCAACTCGGAGGTAACTAGTTTCATGCGGCATTGCAGGTATGTCAGACATTGATATTGCAGCTGCTCGCGCTGGGCATGACAAGTTCCGAATTCATCGTCACTCGATGCCCATTCCCACCCTGTCCCTCTCCCCCCTCCCCTTCCTCCACCTTCCCCCCCGCCTCCTCCTCTAACAGTGATATGGTTCGTTTCAGTCAAATGGTTTTCGCAGCGAGGTCAGACCTCTGGGGATGTAGCATTCGCATGCGTTTAAGATACCCAGGGCCAGACATAACGCGGCGATGTTTGAAAAGTCCCGACCGACATGACAGCAAACGGCGCATCCCTAGTCAAAAGCCATTCAAACATTTGAGGATCAGGAGCGATGAGCAGTCTGTTGATGAGGACGAGGAGCGGTGAACAGTCAGTTGATGAGGACGAGGAGCGATGAGCAGTCAGTTGACCAGACGGCGCGTGATGGTCTAGTTCTCTGATAGGGACACGGCTCGATGAACGCTTCTCTGATAAGGGCGAGAGCTGTACAGAGTTGTCGGATGAGGATGCCGAACTATGAGCGGCCAGATGATCAGGGCGAGGAACGATGAGCAGTCAGATCATGAGGACGAGGAACGATGAACAGTCAACCGATCTGTGGGATGGCTCAGCATCAGCCTGGGTGTCCGTGACATCTCCGTTAATTTGGTTCGTTCGGTTTCTTTTGCTTCTTGAACGCACCAACCCCGCCCTTCGCGTGCAACGCTTTCGGTATTGATCCACGCGTGTGTTTCAATGTTTGAAATTGAGATATCTTGATGAACAATCGGGGTATATATCATTGGACTGGGGCCAGTCGGGTAGATTGAGGAACAGTCGGTTGTGATCTACGTCTGTGCCCCCATGAGGTCGGAATGTAATTCACATTAGGAATGATGTTCGCCCGTGGTGGTTGACGCAAACATGTATGCAACTGAAGTAGATTTGCACTTATTTTCCCAATATGGTGGTTTCCATTAACGCCACGCACTGTGCACCATGGCGATTCGAATCTAGATAATGCATAACATGTATTGGGAATGCAATATACCAGCCGTTGGTTTGGTTTGGGTAGAACCAACACGCCAACATGTTCAACACATTGTATATCGGTTGTGTCACATAACCAGTCATACGTAAAATTAAGTAATATAGTATGATCTGAAGTTTATCTGAAGTTTGTCAAACTTCAGACAAACGTTTGTCTGAAGTTTCAAACTTCAGACAAACTTCAGATTTTTATCTGAAGTTTATCTGAAGTTTGAAACTTCAGACAGAAGTTTGGCAAACTTCTGATAAACGTCAGATCACTGTTTATAGTAAGTTTGACACATTAAGTTAATACGCCACACTACTACACACAAAACGAGGTTGAGCACCCCGAATATTAGCATATTGGACACCCACACCAATCAATATGCAATGCGTCATCCCATACAAATACCTCAATTGAATACCGAGGCACGTATGCTGCATATGCGCGAGAGCGAAAAGAGAACGCCAATACATCGTTTGACGAATCAAACCGCGGTCAGATGCTGATTTCTGATGCTGACTTCTGTCGGTCAGACGGGACACGTGCTGGTGCGATGATAATTGTGCATTCCGTCTTTGTTGGTTTGGTTCAAGCGGCCTGTGCGACTTGGTCATTGACCGAGTTCTACCAACCTGCGTTGGTATCAAGTTTTCGGGATGGCGCCCAAGCTGCGATTCTCGCGCAAGCCCATGAAGACCAAGAAGGACCATCGCGGCAATGTTTGAAGTGTCATCTTACCCAGAGATCACCCAGCCCTTTCCTTGTTTTTTTTCCCATACGGGATGTATTCAAACGAAGCCCGTTGGACTGCATTCGCTCGTTGCGATGACCGACTGACATCATTCATTTGATGATTCCTATAAGCCTGAGAGGACATTCTCAAGAGCGACCCCGACGGCGAGAAGAGCTCGACGGCGCCGAAGCGCAGGCCTGCGGCGGCTACGTCAACGGCCATCGTGCCGTACGGCGCTGCTGGGACCCATGGGATCCCAGGCAATTTCATATAATAGCTTTCTCCCAAGCCCCCCTCTCCCCCCAGAAAAAACAATCAAACACACAAAAAACAACAACACACAACAACACATTGGAACTGATCCCCTGCCAACACATCCCCTGCCATCGCTGTTGCCCGCCCATTCCAGTTCGGGGGGCGAAACAGTCGGGGGCGAACGTGTACAAGATATGTGCGGATGTTCTCGTTTGTAGGGCGAGGTCTTCGGAGGTGGGTAAGCAGGGGCGAGATGAGCAGTTTCGCAATCCTTCCGCAGGAAGGCGCTCGCGAAGCTGGTGGCAATGTGCAAGAACAAGTCGTTCGAGGCGCGCAAGGAGATCTACAGGCACCCCGTCGTCGTGTCTGTTGCCGCCGTCGGCCGTTCGTCGGCAGCAAGTGGCAGTCGATCGTCGGCCATTGCTCGCTAGCCGTCGGCCATTGATCTTCTATTGGTGACCTTGGGTCGTCGTCGATCGTTGGCCCTCGGTCGCGCGCCGTCGGTCGTCCGTCGTCGGTCGGGCGTCGCTTGCCGCTGGCCGTCGATCGTTGACCGTCGGTCGTCGGTCGTTCGCCCGTCGGTCGTCGGTCGTTCGCCCGACGGTCGTCGGCCGTTCGCATGTCGATCGCCTCTCTACGTTGCCTGTCGTTGGTCGGCGTCGGTGGTCGAGCACGCCAGGCAGCGCGGAGATCCGGAAGATCCTCAGCAAGTCCGCGCCATCTTCTCGGAGCCCGAGATGAGGTTGTTGCACGGGCAGTTTGGCACGGCGAGGAAGAAGAGCAAGGGCGCCGAAGAAGCGTACCAGCAGGCCGTCGCGTTCTTTACCCCCCCCCTCCGCTCTACGCCCGATGTCCATCGCCCTCGTTCTCCTCCAACGCCCTCTTCCTTCCATGCCCGCCCTTCTGATGCACAGTTATCCTCCTATCTCCCTGCCGCTACTCCTCCTCCAACGCCATCTTCCCCCCCCCCTCCCCCCTTCCCAAGTTCCCCAATCCGTTCAGTAATCGCCCCGTCCCGCCCTTCTCCTCGCCCTCCGCCTCCTAGCACCTTTGGGGGTCGTCATGGGAGTTGACGTCAGACGCGTTTCATGATTTCGATACCAACGTTGGTCCCCAGGGTCGGCCCCCTGTGCGCCGCGAGGGAGGGGGGGAGTTGATCTCGAGGGTCGGTCTCTCGCGGGCACGCAGAGGTGGGTAACCCTCAGCTGCCCCCCCCACTCCTCGCCCCTCCCTCCCCCCTTTCCTCCCTCCCCCTTCCTCAGTCATTTCCGTTGCTCTCCACCGCCTCATCCACTTCCGCCCCCACCCCCCTTTCCGTCGCCCCCGCCAGTCGTCCTGCGCCCTTTCCTGCCGCATTCTAGAGGCGTCAACGCAGATGGCTGGCTCGAAGACTGAGAGCAAGGTCAAGCTTCTCTCGGCTTGGCTGAAGGACCATCGCCGATGGTCGTCGTTCGGCGACTTTCGTCGTTCGCTCGTTCGCTCGCTCGACGTCGTTCGTTCGTTCGCTCGTTCGTTGCTTCGGTCGTCGTTCGTTCGCACGTTCGTTCGCTCGTGTTTCGTCCAACGTCGCCAGTCGATGGGCGGTGCCGTCGATGGCCGTCCTCTTTTCCAACGTTCGCAACTCGTCGTCGAGCCGATCACCCAAACGATGGTCGGCGACCCCGCCCTTGCCTTCGCCCGCCGCCGCCCTGCCAGGACCCTCGCTTGCAGGAGGGCTTCTTTCGCGTCGCGGTCTCGGTGGGCTACAAGGAGCAGATCAAGCAGGACCACATGTGGAAAACGAAGAAGCAGCTCGAGGACAAGTACGGTGATGAGGAGGCGGCCGAGCTCATCGAGGGCAAGTTGCTGCGGGCGCATCTTCCTTGCCTGCCTCGGTCTCCTAATCGTCGAGTCGTCCGCCCATCAACCTCGCCCCCCCAGAGCGAGACGGAGAGAGGGCGGGGGGAGCGCATGGGGAGAGCGACGGAGGGAAATATGAGGGGGCGGGGTGGGGTGGATGAGATGCGAGAGCATTGTAACGCAGAAGGAGGGGGCGGGGTCGATGGAGAAGAAGGGAATGATCAGAGATTTCAGATTTTGAATACAAGCGGGCCAGGGGCTCCCTAACCTCGATGCATGCTAAATGTCCATTGCCCTCTAGGGATCATTGGGGGTTGCAGTCTCTGAGTTCTGGGTTTCGCTGGCCATGTGCCGCCGCCTCCCCCCTCCCCCATCCCCTGCACCCCTAACTCTTCAAGGTCTGTCTGGTCTCGGGGCCATGCCGCTAGGGCCCCAGGTCGCCCCGAGGCAGGGACTTAAGCCCGCGGGCGTCTCAGGCCCAGGTGTCTCCTCGGGCTCGGTGAATGCGTGGCGGGCGCACCCCCCCCCCCCCTTTCCCTTAGCGTCGTCAGCGCGGCGGTCGCGCCATTTTGCTCCATCCCCCTTCAGTCGCGCAAGAATCCCGCCAACCCCGCGCGCAAGCAGTGGCTCGACTGCGACGACGCGTTCAGCAAGTTGCTCGAGCGCGGCAAGGATCAGAAGGCGGAGGGGGCGAGGAAGCTCGAGGACGGCGAGTTTGAGGGCCTCGCGTCGGGCATCAGCAAGGCGAAGTACTTGGCTGATGGTCGCGGAGGATTAGTTTTTTGTTGTTGTTTTGTTTTATCCCTCAACCTCCTCTCCCTTCCCCCCATCGTCCCCAGCCCACTGCTACTCCTGCTGGTCCTGCTCCTCCGTCACCCCTCCCCTCCTCCTCCTCCCCCCTCCCCCATCGCTCCGTCGCCCTCGTGATTCCAGTGGTGATCCAGCTGTGCCCCTTCCTATCGTAATCCCAGAGGTGCTTCAGCCCCCCCCCCCCGCCTACCTCCCTGCTCAAAGTTAGCCCTGGTGGCGACGATGATGATGTGGTGGGCAACTGAGAAGGAGGGGGAGAACAGGGGGCGCGCGGCGAAGTGGAGCAGGGGGATGACAGAGAAAACACTGGGCAGGGGGGGGGGGAAGGGCAATGGGGGCGAGACGGTGGGGGAGAAGGAGAATAATGTTGATAAGGGCGAGGAGGAGAAGAATGAGCAGGAAAAAGGAGGAGCAGGAGGAAGAGGAGGATGGGGGAGCACGATCCAAATCAGTGCACCACGAGCGCACATGGGCAACATGGGCCTGGTGCTCGAGTCCGACGAGGAGGAGGATTCCGACGACGACGGCCCCCTGGTCCCGCAGAACAAGGGCATTCGTGGCCGCGGCGGGGGTCGCACAGGCGCAAGCCGCGCTGGCCGCAGGGGCGGGGCCCGCACGAGCCGCGCGTCGCAGGATGCAGGGCATTGGGGGAAACGAATCATGAGGGCTGGCTGTCGAGAGACATAGAGCGAGCGGGCGATCGAGAGAACGAGCAATCGAGCGAGCGAGCGAGCGAGCGCTCGGGGCGGCGGGTGATCGAGCTGGCGCGCGCGCGCGCGCCCAGCTCGATCACCCGAGCTCAGGCTCCGTGGCATCGTCCATCCACCCCCCCGCGCTATCTTCCCCTGTTCGCATTTGCCTTCGAGGAGACGGCGCCCGAGACGAAGAAGTCCAAGCAGGGTGCCTTGATCAAGCAGTGTTTGGACTGGGACAGCGGCAAGTGCACCCCCGCCGCCGTCGCCAAGGACGCCCAGATGTTCTACGAGACGTTCCAGGCTCGGCCAACCGAAAAAAAAACTGCGGGGGGCTGAGGAACGACGGAGGTCGGACGTACTCGACTGGACTAGATAGTTGGATGGTGGTGACCATACATGCGTTATCACCACCATCTAACTCCTCGTCCTGCGTATCCTTCTCCTCCCCCTTCATCCCCCTCGTCCTCCCCATCCTCTTCCTTATCCCCAACTCCCCCTCCTTATCCTCCTCCTCCTCCTCCTCCTCCTCCTCCTCCTCCTATTCCTCCTTCTCCTCCTCCTCCTCCTCCTTATTGCCATCCCCCCATCCTCCTCCGCCTCCTCCTGCGATGCCAGACGCACTGTGGAGTGCGCGAATAGTGTGACCACGCGTGCGGGGGGCACGGGAGCGGGGGGAGGGGGCCATCGCATCCGTTGCCAGGCGTTCGTGCAGAGCATGACGAACGTCCTCAAGAGCGCCAAGGACACGGCGACGAAGCAGGAGTTCGCAGAGGCCAAGAAGGACTGTTGTCCTTCAAACTCTGTACCAACCCTCGTATTCGCAGCCCGCCCGATTCTCTCGCCACCTCAAAACCCCGCCGACTTACCCTAGGTTCGTTCAAATTCGGTCGCCGCCCTCTCTTCCCCAACCCATGTTCCGGTCTCCCCTCCTCCGTCCCCCCTCTCCTCGCCCTCCCCCCCCGACACTTCCCCCTCCGCCCTGTCCTCCCCCATCCCTCCTCCTTCTCCTCCCCCTCCTCAACTTCTCCCCTCGTCTCCCCCCCTCGCTCCCTCCTCCCCTCCCTCTTCTCCTCCTTCTCCTCCTGTCAGCAAATTTCTTGGCCTCCAATCTTGTTTTGCGTCGGATGTGTGTGATCCGCGCGCGGCGAGGCACGCAAACTTACCTCCTCGCCCTGCCCCAGGGCCGGATGCTAGTGAATCCTCCCCGCCCCCCACGCGTTGAGGAATGATTTGGCCCTGGGGTTCTTACGCAATGTAGTCGCTGCTTAAGAAATACGGCGCATGGAACCCTCACTTCTGGAGCGATCTCCCCGTCTCGATGTTTATGGTGGTTGTCCGTCGCCACGGTTGGATGTCTCTGGAATGGCGCGTCCTCGGGAGACGGGTGGCCTGGAGTTCATTCACTTTTGCACCCCAGCTCTCTGCCCAGGTGCTCGAGGCAGCGCGCGCCGCCAGCGTGAAGCTGGGCGACGTCGTCATGGATGCGCCCGCGCCCAAGGCGGCCGCCAAGGTGCTGATCGCCGCGCAGGGCGTGCTCGAGCAGGCGAAGGCCATGTCGCTGAACGTCAAGGGCTTCTTCTGATGGCCTCGCTGACTGGCCCGCCTCGGCCCTCGCTGCCTGGCCCGCCTCGGCACAGCAGTTGGGTCGATCTGGTAAGTATTTCCCAACCATCCTGGGGTGTTGGGTCCTCGTTTTGAAGAGACGGTGCCCCGCGTTCCTCTTCTCCTTCTCCCCCCCCCCTCCCTCCTCCCATTATCATCATCATCATCATCATCATCATCATCATTATCATCATCATCATCATCATCATCATCATCATCATCATCATCACTACCGATTTCGGCACACCCCTCACACGTTTCGTGGCCCCATAGGGAGCTCCACCGAAGGCCCCAGTGGCAGGGTCCGCATGCCTCCCCACCGCCCATTTCGGCACACCCCTCACACGTTTCGTGGCCCCATAGGGAGCTCCACCGAAGGCCCCAGTGGCAGGGTCCGCATGCCTCCCCACCACCCATTTCGGCACACCCCTCACACGTTTCGTGGCCCCATAGGGAGCTCCACCGAAGGCCCCAGTGGCAGGGTCCGCATGCCTCCCCACCACCCATTTCGGCACACCCCTCACACGTTTCGTGGCCCCATAGGGAGCTCCACCGAAGGTCCCAGTGGCAGGGTCCGCATGCCTCCTCACCACCCATTTCGGCACACCCCTCACACGCTTCGTGGCCCCATAGGGAGCTCCACCGAAGGCCCCAGTGGCAGGGCCCGCATGCCTCCCCCACCACCTATTTTGGCGCACCCCTCACACGCTTCGTGGCCCCATAGGGAGCTCCACCGAAGGCCCCAGTGGCAGGGTCCGCATGCCTCCCCACCACCCATGTCGGCACACCCCTCACACGTTTCGTGGCCCCATAGGGAGCTCCACCGAAGGCCCCAGTGGCAGGGTCCGCATGCCTCCCCACCACCCATTTCGGCACACCCCTCACACGTTCGTGGCCCCATAGGGAGCTCCACCGAAGGCCCCAGTGGCAGGGTCCGCAAGCCTCCCCACCACCCATTTCGGCGCACCCTTCACACGTTTCGTGGCCCCATAAGGAGCTCCACCGAAGGCCCCAGTGGCAGGGTCCGCATGCCTCCCCACCACCCATTTCGGCACACCCCTCACACGTTTCGTGGCCCCATAGGGAGCTCCACCGAAGGCCCCAGTGGCAGGGTCGCATGCCTCCCCACCACCCATTTCGGCACACCCCTCACACGTTTCGTGGCCCCATAGGGAGCTCCACCGAAGGCCCCAGTGGCAGGGTTCGCATGCCTCCCCACCACCCATTTCGGCACACCCCTCACACGTTTCGTGGCCCCATAGGGAGCTCCACCGAAGGCCCCAGTGGCCTGGTTCGTATGCCTCCCCAACACCCATTTCGGCACATCCCTCACACGTTTCGTGGCCCCATGGGGATTTCCATTGAAGGCCCCAGTGACTGGGTTCGCATGCGCCCCCACACCCATTTCGGCACACCCCTCACACGTTTCGTGGCACCATAGGGAGCTCCACCGAAGGCCCCAGTGGCTGCGTTCGCATGCCGCCCCCACACCAATTTCGGCACACCCCTCACACGTTTCGTGGCCCCACAGGGAGCTCCACCGAAGGCCCCAGTGGCTGCAATCGCATGCCGCCCCCACACCAACTTCGGTGCACCCCTCACACGTTTCGTGACCCCATAAGGAGCTCCACCGAAGGCCCCAGTGGCAGGGTCCGCATGCCCCGCACTCGTTTCGGCACACCCCTCAAAAGTTTCGCGGCACCATAGGGAGATCCACCGAAGACGGTACTCACACCAGCATTACTCACAACTGCATATGGTTGGGTTCTTCGCCAGGCTAATTTGAGGGGGGCGTCGCTTGCCGATGCGTGGCAACCATCCAAAAGCATCGAAAGCCACCATCCAAAGCATCGAGAGCCAACTGCTGGCCACCATCCGAAGCATCGAGCGAAGGCGACCCGCCGC